AAGAGTGTCAAGAAATGACCGGGGAAGTTAAAACATTGAAGGAAGAAAACAAGGACATGCAAGGGACAATACAACTTTTAAAAGTCAAAGTTAATCTGCTGGAACAAAATGCGCGCGCTAATAATCTGGAGGTACAATGTGTCCCTGAAACAAAAAACGAAAATCTATCAGGTATAGCTATGTGCATCGCAAAAACGGTTGGTTACAATATGACAGAAGGGACAATACAGCATATTACTCGTGTGTCAAAACAAGACAAGGCCAGCTACCGACCTAGATCAATTATTATTCAGATGTCGTCACTGCAACAACGAGATCTCTTTCTAGCTGCCGTTATAAAATATAATAAAGCAAATCCGAATAATAAGTTAAACACCTCTCACATAGGCATTACCAATGATAAAAAACCAATTTATGTTATGGAACACCTCTCAGTACCAAATAAAGTTTTACACGCTGCAGCTAGACAAAACGCCAAAGACAAAGGTTATAAACATGTGTGGGTCAAAAATGGGAAAGTGTTCATGCGAAAAACTGATGATTCAGCATTTATCTTAGTCAAGGATATGGACTCATTGAAGAAACTGAAATAATTTTGACTTCATATTTTTATTTGTTTTGCATGATTTTGATATAAATATAAGTATTAAAATTCTCAAGTCTGAATGTATACTACCAAAATGTACGTGGCCTAAGAACCAAAACTGTTGATTTTTATAATAGCGTAAGTCTCAGTAAATATGATATAATAATACTCACAGAAACATGGCTGAATAATAATGTCTTTGATAGTGAATTGTTCGATGATAGGTACGTGGTATATCGTAGGGATAGAAATAAAACAAATAGTAATAAAGGGGAAGGAGGGGGCGTCTTATTGGCAGTCTCAAAAAAAATTAACTCTAATAGACATGTTCAATGGGAGAGTAGTTGTGAAGATTTATGGGTTACAATAGATTTTCCTGTTAATGTGTCAGTTAATACAGTAACTTTTTGCATTGTATATCTTCCTCCTCCAGTAACACCAACATTACTAAAGGCCTTTTTAAGTAATTGTAACCTGACGCTGGAAAGCATTCAAGGTGATGTGTATATAATAGGAGATTTCAATCTAGGACAAATAAAGTGGACTCAATTTGAAAATTATAACAGAAATGTACCATCTTTAGAAAGTTCAATAATAGATTTTATAGCATTGAACGATTTGTGTCAAATTAATCATATTTCTAATATTAGTGGTAATATACTAGACCTTTTTCTTACCAATAACCAAAACTGTCAATTGCTGTGTGCTTCTGATGTCCTTTCCAAAATTGATATCGTGCACCCTCCCTTCGAAGTACAAATAAGTTTATCATCGCCGAAATATTTGCCAGTTAACAATGAAATCCCGAGGTACAATTTCTATAAAGCAGATTATATAAGTTTAAATCGATTTCTTAAGAGTACACCATGGTCAGAGCTATTTAGTAAAGTAACAGATGTGAATGAAATGGTAAAACATCTTTACGATGTACTTAGAGAATCAATTTCGTTGTACGTACCATTGAGGAACCGGAGAAAATCCAACTATCCTCCGTGGTTTAGCACAAATTTAATCTCATTGCTTCGAGAAAAAAACAATATTAGGCATAAGTATATGAAGCATAAAAACCCGCGAGATGAAATTTCATTTAAACTTCTCAGAACTAGATGCAAAAAGTTAGCATCAAAATGCCACAGAGACTATATGAATAGCATTGAGGAATCGATTAAGAAAAACCCAAAGTTAATGTGGACTATGATTAAAGGAAAGCGTAAAGGAAAAAGTATATTTCCAGCAAAGATGCACAATGGCACTAACACGGCTTCTAAAGGAGCAGAAATTTGCAAGCAGTTTGCTAGTTTTTTTGCGTCAATTTATGAGGACTCAGACGATGTTGCAATTACTACAAATTATAAAGAAGCATACAGTAATAACTTACATAACATTTTCATCAATTTTGATGAGATAACTAACAAATTAAAATCTGTGGATACAAGCAAAGGTCACGGTCCAGACGAAATTCCAGCACATTTTGCGAGGAACTGTGCCGAAAGTTTGGCAGAGCCATTGTACATCATTTATAATGCCTCACTAAGATCCGCAGTTTTTCCGGATAAGTGGAAGTTGGCTAAGGTTGTCCCTATATATAAGGGAGGAGATATATCGTGCGTGAAGAACTATAGACCAATTTCTCTTCTATGTATATTTGCTAAGGTATTGGAATCTTTAATATGCCCTATTGTTCGAAATCACTGTAAAAAGTTTTTCACAGATCATCAACATGGCTTTCTAGAAGCACGGTCGACATGTACAAATCTTGTTTGCTTTGAAAGTCTTCTGTCAGAGGCTTTAGACTCTCGAAAGCAAGTTGATGTAATATATACAGACTTTTGTAAAGCATTTGACAAGGTTTGCCATAAAGTGCTTATAAACAAATTGCAATCGTTTGGAATAGCTGGATCTTTATTAAATTGGATGTCATCATATCTTTTCAAAAGAAGGTTTTATGTGGTAGTTAATGGATATAGTTCAAATGTTTATAATATATTATCAGGTGTTCCTCAGGGGTCACATCTCGGACCAATTCTGTTTAATATATTCATTAATGATTTGCCTAACTGTTTAAAATATGCATCACATTTCCTCTATGCTGACGATCTTAAATTGGGACTTATTGTAAAGTCGGATGATGATTCTCTGAAGATGCAAGATGACCTTAACAGCCTTGTTAATTGGTGTAGGATAAATGGAATGGAACTTAATGCTTCAAAATGCCGGCAAGTCCATTTTACACGTAAAACTGCATTTATATCGACACAATATCATATACACAATGTCGCGCTAAAGAGATCAGAAGTAGTCAAAGATTTAGGAATAATTTTTGATCAAAAGTTGACGTTCATTCCGCAACTGGATAATGTAGTACAAAAGGCATCACGGATGCTTGGATTCGTCATCAGAAATGGCAAAGTATTCAAAGATACACACACTAAAATTATTTTATATAACTCGTTGGTACGAAGCATTTTGGAATATGGCATTGTCGTATGGCGACCACATTATGCAACTCATACTTTACGTCTAGAAAGAATACAAAAAAGGTTTATGAGACACTTGTCGTATTCAAAAGGTATTGCCAAGAGTCTCAAAAGTTACGAGGAAAGACTCAAACATTTTAAAATGACATCATTGGAAAAGAGACGGGACTTACTCGATTTATTATTCTTACATAAAATACTAACGGGTAAAATAAACTGTCCCCCATTACTTTCTCTTTTTAAATTCAAAGTGCCACGAAAAGTGCCTCGAAAACCCATAACACCGCTATGTCCGCCTTTTAGATCCACAGTTTTTGGTGCCAAATCCGCTGTCCCTCGTCTATCCCGAATCCTGAACCGCTATAGTAATCAAATAGATATCTTTTTAGACTCGCCTAGTAAAATAAGGAATATTGTTATTAATCAGTGAAATACACACTATACTATAATATTAAAACACTGCTTTGATGTAAGTGGTGTCTGCTTGTAATTAGTTTATGTACTCTAACTCTAAATTAGATGTAATTATTATCTGTAAACTATACATAGTGCATTAAACTGTAAGTGGACCTAATAAAGAAAGAAAAAAAAAAAAAAAAAAAAAATGGCAAATAATTTGAAACTTTTGAGATGATGCAACGTCTGTATAGATTTATCTGAATCAGTAAACAGCATAAGTTTAAATTTTAAAGCCTATTAAACAATTAACATAAGGTACTTTTGGTGTGAAATTATGTACAAAAATCGCATTCATCTAAAGGGTAGTGATCATACATTAAATATTCGCATTTGAAGCACCAAAATTCGGGATTTTCGAGAAAATGAATTAAGTGTTCTGGTTCATTCATATCAGCAACTATGTGCCACGGTCTATCGTGGAAATACACGGCATTGTTTTTACAATTGATGCAGTAGGTTCTTAAAATAAAGTGGGTTTCAACCCAAGGCCATCCAAGGTTGTTAGTTAGAATATGATAAAACAAACTTTTGTTTAAAAACGTGTCAACATCAACGACCTCCATTTTAGGTTCAAATTTTAAAACTGACGACTGTTGGTAATAGATACGCACTTACTGGCAATGTTATAACTGAACTATTTTAAACACCACAATACAGCTTTTCAGTGATAAACACACAGGCGTCAGTCGTGGGTCGATTTGATAAAAACACTAAATTCGACAATTTTAATTTTCCCAAGGCAGAAACACAGACTTGTGTTATAAGATACATCGAACTCGCGCGGGCATTTTAGGGGCGAATAGGGTTGTCCCACTTATTTTCTATTATTTGTTTTATAATTATGTAGCGTATCTCTAGTGGCGTTTCAAAGAAGCTTATTTGTAAAAAAAACTAAACGTCTTTATTAAAAAATAAAACACATATGTATATATGAAGGTATAAGAATGAACTTAAAAAAAATTGATTTGTCATGGTTGCCAGGTGAGATTCGAACCCACGTCTCGCTGTCCGGGCGACAGCTCTAGCTACAAGGTAGCTTAGTGGCTAGAGCTGTCGCCCGGATAAATAAACTTCTTTGTGACGCCACTAGAGGTAATGAATTGAGGAGACCTATACATATTAAATAAGGTGCGTATAAGTTAAGGCCATGAAAAATACGATTTTATTTATATTTTGTCAAAATGCAGATTTTATATACGTAAGATACTTAGATGCTTATCGGTTTCGAATGAAAATAGATCTTGATTGCACAAAACCGCTTGTTACCTTTAGACACTCAAAATATTTATGAAAAATGATTAAGTTTATAGTATAAAAATATTATACAGTCATTAGTTAGGTTGAGAATAATTTCTCTCAGACGTGAGCCTATTTTTATTTTAAACGGATATTATTACTGCAGAAAACTATAAATAACACAAAGCTCGAAAAGATTAAGCAGTAGCTACCTACTTAATTGATTAAAGATATGGACACGTCTATTTCTTTCCTTTTGTGTAGGCATTTTGTACGAAAACTTTAATTTTCAACCAATCTTTGTTGTGCATAATGTCAGGATGTAGATCACGCAGTTCTTCACATTCATGGCGTTTTGGTGGTACTTGACTTTTTATGTGTTTGCTAAAAAACTTTGTAACAATATTTTTTTGTTGTGCTGTCCAAGGAATCAAGTTTCGTTTCTTCTTAGTTTTATTTTCAGTAGAATTCGTAATATCACAAAGCTGAGGTGTCTTTAATGTACTGTCATGCACATTGGCGTCAATAATCGGCTCATTTAGGTTTTCTGTAGGCATTACAGCTTCGTATTCCATTATTTCATCATTTTGATCAATGTCTTCGTGCGTATCTTGTAATAAATCTTGTTCTAAATCTAAATCAATATCATCCAAAGATTTGCCTTTGTAATAATCAGCGTCACCACTTTCCATTAGCAGCAAGAGTTTGGATAATTTAGCTGTCTGATACACATCATCAGGCAATCTATAGTTTTGCCTATGCACAGCCTGAGTGTGACCCATAAAATTAGCCAGTTGTTCAATATCGGTTTCTTTCATATTAAACATTTGCGTAAGCGTTGCCAAATGTTTCCGTAACTTGGTAGTGGTTATTGCTGTAGGATTTTTAGCTCCACTAGCATTAGCATACTTCTCCAATACTTTATACCCACATAATGTGTTTTCCGACCCAGGCTTTGCAAATAGGAACTGGTTTTTATTACTAATATATTTCTGTCTGATAGATATAAGTAAGTCAATGTCGGCTTGCACTTCGTCAGTCAGTAGAACCGGCACACCTCGGCCCCTTTTACCTCTTATAACTATACGCTTAAAAGATTTAATAAGCATTTTTTCAGCATCTGAAATAGCTCTACCAAATTCTTCATAGGCATTACTATTATTATGGCACTCTTGGTATGTGCTAAGGAGAAGCCGCTGCAGTTCTCCAGGTCGACGCCTATTTAATAAAAGTATGCGACAGTAAATTGTCTCCGCTAACGTAACATATGCTTCAATGTTACTGTTTTCGCTCTCTACTAATTTGGAGGCTGCTGATTTAGCTTTCTCGCAGATATATTGCTTTAGCATTTTTAAGTCACTCGCAAGTGAAACAATTGTGACTTTGTTCCATTTTTTTAAATTTAAGTCATTACTCGCTTGACTGGAAACGTCAAACTTCCAATTTGACTCAATCAGATGTATGAGTGTCTTGAGATCAGCCTCAATGACAGCAGTTTTTACACTGCTATCAGATTTCAAAGTCGCCATTATTGCAATATTACAACACTGTTTTAGGCTTGTGCTAATATTCATTGCGTATGTAGGAGCACCATAGCGATCTGTTTGATTATTGTAACTGGATACTTTTTTGGTCGCAGTTACTATCACATCGTAGTTTTGTGGTTTCAATGAATCCATTAAATCCTTAATAGACGGTTTGAGCTTTTTTAATTCTATTAACAATTTTGACAATTCTCTCATTTTTCTAGATGTTACATTGATAAAATGTTTTTCACGGTGTATCCGCAGATATTGAGCACCGAATGCACAAATCAGTGGGTCTTTTTTAGCCTCTAGAGATATTTTATCTGGTCTCATTTTGGGAAATACATCTTCTCTAAGTTTTTTATCTACTTTCAGATGACGCAACATAAAATTTTGAGCATCAACTTGGGTATTAGCAGTTTCAGTTAATGGTTGACATCTTTTTTTGTGTTTCCACAGTTGTTTTCTCGAGTAAAAACCCAAACATTTTTCACATGGCAAGTAGTCAATATCCGGATAAATGCTGCTTTTTTTCATTGGTTTACAACATTTTGTCACGTTTTTTATATAGTTTCCTTTTTTACGTAAGTTAGTCAATAAATTTTTTCGAGTATAACTTTTCTTGGGGTATGATAGGATTTTTTGTACCTCGCATTCCATGGTGTGATTCCGTGCAATATGCCTCGCAAAATTTAAAACATCAGTTTCACAATAAAAGCAATAATCTTTGGTTCTTGTTCTTTTTTTCTTTTTTCCTGATTCATTGGAACTTATTACTTCAGAATAATCAGCACTACTCATGGGTTCCTAAAAACAAATAAATATTTTTAATATCAATAAAAAAGTAAATTCAATCATAGTATTCTATTCTCCCTAATTTTTTAAACTTTTTACCATCTATCTATTCCATAATATTTAATTTAGTCAATTTGGTAACTTAAAAAAATAAAAATCAATAACTTTAATAGTTAAGAAGTAGTAGAAAACTGCAATGAGAATATACGTTTTGTTTATACGAATACATCTTGTTATACTACTTTTCCGTTTTTGGCAGTTGTTATTTCAGATATTATTGTTTGTTTTTTGTTTATTGTATATTCGTTAACTCTATTAAGATGCAAAACTATTATAGTGTCGCTTAAGTAGGCGCGTAAGTCCAATTAAGGTCAGTTTACACAACGTCGCGTCTCGTCGCGTCGTGGTGTGAATTAACCGGCAAAAAATCTAATACATATAATTATTAATAAATGAAACAACTTTTAAACGGTTCCATCGCATTCGTATTTAGTTTTAGACGTTTTGGACCCTTTACAGAACACGGAACCTGTAGAAATTTATGGATAGTGCGCGTGAAAATATAAGAAATCAATACCTATAATTATTAACTTTTCGTAAAAATTTGTCTTAAATTACTTTCGCGCTATTATTCCTTATACGTCGAAATTATTTATTATTATGGTGCAAAACTTACCACATATATTTTTTTGTCTCCTCTTAAACATCTTATAGGTGATATACCCTTAGTATTTATCAAGCTATCTCCTGCTACTTCTTTAAAACTAGCCTCATTTGAAGAGTCGGAATACGTTGGAGTAGATGCAGGATGGTATGTTTCATCTTGGTCACTATTATCAATTTCTAAGTAGTCTGAGTGATGGCTGTCATAAGAACTGGGACTATCATTATCAGCTGTATATGTCGACGTTGTGGGTACTAGGTCTCGTATCGAAGGATTAGAGCTCTGACCTGGTGATGAAGACTGACTTGTTACGGTATGATTTTTGCTTACATACGGGTCTACACTTTCAATTGTTGGAACCAATACATTTTCATGGTACTGAGACTGCTCCAATTTATTTGAAGCATCAATAGTCTGACATGGTAGCATTGATTGACTAGTAACCGTATGTTTTTTTGTAATATATGATTCTTTACTTTCTATTGCTGGAATATACATATCTATGTGGTAATTAGATAACTCTGAAATATTGTTGGTGTCAGAATTTTCGATTATTGAATTGTCACTATTTTCAACAAGAATATGTTCGGTATCTCCAATGGTGACATTACTAACAACTTGGTCTATCAAATGTATTTCATCGGTGTTCAGTTCTAATGAAATACTTCCAGAAGTCAAATCTCGGGTGCAATTAGACATATCCTTCAAAGAAGCCGACAAGTCGTCGTTTAGATATGAACTGTCCGTATTATCGTCATATGCAACTGGAACATAAGTTTCATCTCTGTTCTTCTCATCGCCAGTAGTATCCATAAATGAATCATCACTACTGGTATTAGGTATCGATATTGAGGGCGGATTATATCTCGGCCTCTGTGAAATAAAAGTACCATTTGGGTATACATATAATATAAGTTATCCTAGAATTTACTCTCATAATAAGTCAACAATAATTAACTAGCCATGTGTGAGTCAGACTAATCCACTCCTTACATACAACCTCGAATAAATTCGATCAGCAAAATGTCAAATCAAAGTTGAAAAAACATTGACTTTATGCAAAAGTCTGGGACCAAAAAATAAGCAAGGAGTTTTTAGTGGCCCTGTAGTAGAAGGTAGGTAGTACTTTATTAAGTTATCATTATGTGGATCGCGAAAACTATGAACCTCGGTCCACCAAATATTGTTAAATTATTTTTTTCCGTACCCAAAGGTACCCTATTACTGAGACTTCGCTGTCCGTCTGTCTATCTATCCGTTTGTCTGTCTGTCACCAGGCTATCTGTCATGAACCTTGATAACTAGAGTCCGACTCACACTTTGCCGCTTTTAATTTATTAAACTGACATACTCGATAAAAAAAATATTTTGACCCGCTTAGAATTAGTTGCCGAACTCTACCTTAAATTATAAGATATACTCCAGCCAAATTCGATGAAGAATAAATTTAACAAAGCAAATTAGGGTCGTCACAACTTAGATGACAAAAAATATATAAATCTCGAATTTCTCACATTTTTTACTCCTATAAATTACCAGAAACACCATAAAATTTCAATATTTTGACAAAAAAAAATGGAAAATAGTAATAAAGCTGAAATTATTTTTATTTCACAGCCCTGTAACTTATAGAATAAAGAAATTAGAAACTAACTTTCCAAATAAAGTTGTCAATTATTATAAAACATATTCATTTAGAATAACTACATTTTAAATCGATCGCATAATGTAATCCGACCCTGTGTGCAAGTTCGGTGTTCCTTTCTACTGTTCAAAACTGCAATAAGTTTTTTATTTCCTATAATTATGTGTCTGCAGCATTTATAAGCATTAGAAATGAATTGCATTATTTACAAATCCCAAGTTTATGAAGTATTAGTACATTTATAAATAAAACAATTGATTTTTCACTGGTTTTTGTTTACACATGATATATTCCTTGTAATGTTAAGACACTGCACATTAAATTACAAAGATTAGTTCATTTTCAAAATACTACTATATAATTAAATTGCAGATTTAATTATATAGTAGTATTTCATTTCATAAAGTAGTACATATCTCGAAATCGAAAAAAATAATTATAATGTTGTCTACTTTAGAAAGGTTATTAAAATCTACCTGTCTGGTTGATAAGCAACGCTTTGTTAGTAAACATTCTTCATCGAATTTGGCAGTAGTATAACACAATATTTTATAAGTACTGGTAAGACATACTAACATCAAGGTATACGGACGTTACAATGTCGAAAAAGTTTCAAACTGTTATTCAATAGACGTCCAGGATATCAAAAACGAATAATAGTTGGAAATTTTTACGATGTTGCAACGTCCGTATACTTTACGTAATACATTTGTTTTTTTTTTCAATTTGCTATATGGGGCCATTCATTTATTATGTAAAACGATATATGTAGGAGGAGGCGCAGAGGAGACGACCATGTATAATTTTTATTTATTATTTTAATCTAAAAAGATCACAAATGCACAAAATTAAGATTATATTTTAGCGTAGGCAATCACGCGAGTGCCTAAGGTGCGCTCGAATATTTAAAAGTAGGTAACTACCTATCAGCCCCGCGTTTTCACCCATGTAATGCCCAATCCAAGGTGGAGTTTCAGAGCTTAGTCTATAAAAATCTATTCACAAACGTATAACGAAATGCGAGTGAATTCTAAAACGTATAACTCTTATAAGAATTAGCCCATGGCAACGCCTATGCTAACCACAAAACGCCTCGCGGGAATTCCCCCTAACAAGTACAGAAGTACTTGCTTGCGTTGTTGATTTTAATGATTGTAGTTTTAACGTGTACGTACTTCTTAATTTATTTCTTTAGATTCTAACGTAATAAATGAATGGCGCCTATTTATTTTACCGAATAATAGTTACCTAGTTATACATATAATAAATAACCTACTTATTGTAAAAAAACTTACCAATGTACGTTTGTTGTCATAACAATCATTTTTGTGATTTTTACTGGGTGGAGGCATGTTATTGTTTTTTGATACTGAAATAATTTTAAAAGTTTAATCTTACTTCACTTCATATTTCATATTATACCACTTCATATTTGTCAATTATACAAATAATTCAGCAATCTTACTTTCAAGTCCTGGAATTAATTTGAGCAACTTTTCACTTCGATGGTTTTTTCTAGACATTTTACTTAAAATAACAGACGCAACAACGTAAACGAACTGAAGGCGTGCGAATATTCGGGAATCGCAAATAAGAATAAACATTAAATAGGATACAAATTCGAAGTATTGTATGCACGAGTTTGCAACGTCGCATTTCGCCCTTCGTTGGACGTCACATACGGCTAGCAATGAAAGTAGATAATGAGTGACGGAAGCGCCACTACTTTTAGTGTCGAAAAGTAGCAGAACTAAAGGAATATTTAAAAACGCAAGATTGTCAGGGAAGTGACGTCCGAACTTTTTTATGGTTTATTACTTTTCTGGTATCACCTAGATAAACCGCGATCTTTGTAAACATCCTCCGATTTAACGTCCGTATATCGGACGTCGAAAGCAGGTGGACGCCACATTATATGCGATTAATGCCATAGGGGATGCACAATAAGTTCCAGGATATATATATATATATATATATATATATATAACCACCGTGGAAAGCTTATATTTATACATATTGAGTTTTTTTTATAAATAACTCTATAAAAATTCGATGTACCCCCATGCTAATAAAATTTTAACGACCAGTGACATTTCGCTAATAACATAGTAAATTACCGAGTGCGAGTCGAATTCTTATTAATAAAATACTAATATAAACAGGTAAATAACCGTTTTATATTTTATGTATTGGCTGAGCATGTGTGCTCTGTATTTAGCTTTATAGTAGAGATCAATAATTATTATAAACAATAGATGATATTTTAAATGTAAAACTGTTAATTGCTTAATAAGAACAGTATCCTAATTGTTGACAATTCTTACCTGCTTCAAATTCTTGTTTATTTGGTAAAAATATCTGATGAAGTTTAAACATATTTTCAAGTAATTACTTCTCTTGACTATAGATACTAGTGTAAGTATAAGAAAAGTTGATTTTATCAAAAGATTACGCTACACATTTCGTTTTAATTAGTAGCATTTACAAAAACGTCAAATCTTAAACAACTTCTATGATTGCATCTGATATATGAGATATAGGAAAAACGGTTCGCCTAAAATCTTCTTTTAACTCCAAACACGAAACGTAAGAAAGCCACAAATATGATATCAACTTTATCGAGTCCCAAATTTCAATTCAAAAGCATATAATATCGCCATATATATTCCGGAGTTCCTTCATAATATTTTCTGAACATAATATTTTAGGGTAGAATGGAGGACAGGCAGTTTCTATTTGAAGTTTATAGTCGGGCTACCCCACAAAAGTAGGCAGAATATCCTTACGTATTTTATTTCGTATGTGGTTTTACGTATACAAGGAGGCTTCATTCGTCTTTTCATCGCAAAGGCCTTTTCATAAAATTACGTATTCTTTGTAAGGACCCGCGTCTCGCTAAGCCTGTTGCAACAAGACATTATGTTGTTGATTACATCCTCGCTAGAAAAAGATAGAAATATTATATGTCTTTTACGTTTATTTCATTATAAATAAAGAGAACAAGCATATAAGTCGAGTGGAACTCAATGTTAAAGAATTAGTTAACTTGTGACTACATAGGTATTGATTTAGACTTCGAGATTGGCTATTTCTATAACAGTTTTATTATGGATGTAAAAATTATGATTGCATAATTCGTTTTTTTTACAAATATTCAACGAAAATAAAATCAATACAACACATGGTTTTAGATCTGATTCCTCATGATCGATATTTTTTCATTATTAAAGAAGTAATGAGAAGTTTTGTGTTTTTTGTAACTATTGACTTGACTATTGAGAACATGATTAATATTATTTGCTAACTCAATAGAATTTCATATGATACTAATAAATGATTTTCAAGATTAGATTAATGAAAACTATTTAAAGCAATTAGCTATCACTGAATAGAAAATTATTAAATTCTTGAACAACTTACTAAATGATATTAATTCTGAACTGATTGCTCTGGCGTTCTTTGTGTTGTCGACAAAAACTGAAAAATTTGCATTTCGATCTCTTCCAATTATTGTTAAAAATACAGTTGTGTGTACATGTTCTTTTCAGTGCCTAAATAGTTTTCTTTTTGTTTTAGTATGATTGGTAGAAGTTTTTTTTTATATTCTATTTAAAATATTACAATAAAATATATACTACAATTGATACATTTTTAATTTTTTAATATTTATGAGCATTTTTGATTATTTTAATATAGTAATGATCAAATTAATAATTAATTTAATGTAGATATATTGGCAAAAGACATTGATTTTTGAGTATAGAAAGTATATATATATATAAGATACTGAGTGACTGACTGACAGACAGATAACATACAGCCGAAACTGCTGTGCGTAGAAAGTTAAAATTTAAAATGAAAATTCCTTTAGTGTAAAGGAGCATTAAGAGAGGATTTTTGAAAATTCCACCAGGAAAGGGTCAAGTTAGGAAATAAAAGTTTGTATAAAACTTTGTTACTACAAGTGCTAGGAGTTTCAAATTTTGCATGCGGTTTTTTTTTAGGACTCTGGTACTCACTAACATGGGATTTTACGAAATTTGACCCCTAATGGGGTTAATTAGGTGATGAAAATTTTTATGGAATTTTCTCATTACTGGACTTAAAACTAGACCACGGTGGCGAAGTGTTGGGCAAAAACTAGTATATTAACGCAACGCATTAAAATACTCTTATTTTTATCTCTGATGTTAGCTATTTAAAAAAGTACTTACTATAATTTTCTCTGCATGAGCTTGAATAAAAATTAAGTGAAATATAAAGTAACGAACGATCCGCTAGACTCTAAAACTAAACCAAAAATATTTACAGTCTTGTCGTATAAATATTCAGTACATTCTGGGCGGTGTTGTTAGTCTGTGGCTTTATATCGAGCGTGAATTATGCCTATTTTCGCTCCAAAGCACAGCTCAAGCGGCATCTCGTCGTCGAGATAAATTATGAGTTATTTCATTTGATAGCGCGTCAAGGCGAGATTAGCGCTATTCATGTTATCTCTAGCTCTGTAGATTGGATGGGACCTTCTCTTGATAACTATGTTTTTACCTAGCGACATTTCTCTTAGGAGCACCCAAAATATTACATCACCTTTTTACTAAATTGTTTGTATAATATGTTCATAAGAGTTTAAGGATATTTTTGTTTCTAATAAATAGGGGGAAAAGTTTCTTCGAATCTTATATGAAAATTTAAAACAATTTTTTTAATAAAGTTTATTTACATTTAACTATAGTATGTAGGTACCATTTTGTCAATAACTTTTTACCAACTTGTAGGAAGGGTCATGATCCCATTGTTAAAGAAATTTTGGAGCTTCTGATCAAGAAACCGCGACAAGTGGTTTTGGCAGTCTTCGCATGATGTTAACCTGACTGTTAAATCTGCTTTTTTAAATGACATAATATATGTCATTTACCCATATAATATGTTGTAATAGATGGCGTACCTTTGACTTTTTGAATCGCGGTGTTATGATTGTTTGTCAAAGACATATATAGTTTTTCTAATGTAAATAAATTATCCTCGACCTTATTACTTGTTTCATTCAGTTTGAACCTTTTTTTGGGACTTTAACATGGTCCTAGCGAGGCGGATATTAGCAGCGAAAATAGTTTTGTAATGCGACAGAAATTCCAATCAGTTTAGAAAAAAGTAGTGACATCAGCAAATATAGTGTGGCCACGAAACGAGCGATTGCAAGAGCGAAGCGGAAATTGGTGTGGAGCCAGGAAGTGAATTTTAAGTAGTGAAGTGATAACTGTGAGTACAATACAACATAGTAGAAATTTAGGACTTAGAATAATTTCTCCAAAAGTGCACATACGGGGAATCCACGCCAGTTTGCGGAGCCAATTCTAAAACACTTAGAAAAATTTCGAGCGACTAATTCGACTTGGAAAATTTTATTAAAATTCCACATACAGTGAAATTATTAAATAGTAATAAAAATGGAAGCTTATGCGAAAATTCAAGAAGATATTAAGTCTAAAATACAGAAAGGAAAGGTTAACTTTAAAAAATCTCCTAAAGATAGGATGACTATGTCATACTTAGAAACTCGCTTAGAAACCTTAGAACAACAATGGGCTTTGTATATTGAAACACATAAGAAGATCATTACTGAAGTTCCTGTTGAAGTACTTAAAACATCTTCTTACTTTAAAAGTGATGAGTATGATGAGACTGAAGAGCTATACATTTATTACAAATCGGAATTAAAGGAAGCCATTCGAGTATTTAAGAAAAACATAAAAGTCGATGAAGTTAGTGATGCGCATATCGTTTCAAACGCCCAATCTCTTACTGTTAACTTACCGAAAATAAACATTCCTAATTTTAGCGGAAGATATTCAGAATGGATCAGTTTCCGTGATTTGTTTTTGTCTTTAATCCATAACAATAAGGGATTGGATGATGTTCAAAAACTGCACTATTTAAAGGGTCACTTAAGTGGTGAGGCCGAACAAATGCTTAGATATATACCTATCACGTCTTGTAATTATAAAACTTGTTGGGAACAATTAGAGCATCGTTATAATAATAAAAGATTTTTAGCAAATTCTGTATTAAAGCGATTTATGAGTCAAAAAAATGTATTGTCAGAATCGTCAAGTGCTATAAAAGAATTACTTGATACAACAAATGAGTGTTTAAATGCTCTTTCTAATTTAGACATAAATATCGATTCTTGGGATCTTATTATAATTTATATAATTTCATTGAAACTTGATACAGAATCTCGCAAATTATGGGAAGTTCAAGTTAGTAAATGTAACGATGAATTACCTAAGCTTTTTGATTTCAAAAACTTCTTAGAACAACGCTTTCGTTCATTAGAATTTTTAGATAATAA